ACCTTTTCTGCCCTCACATCTGTGGTATCTACCTGTAGATTCAATTACCATATCTATATAGCGGACATCTTATTAGTCTTTTCATGAACATGGCTTGAATATCACATCTCAATAGTTTTTCAACTTTTTCTTTCTTAATCACTGTATGAAGGTACTACTGGTGGTATCCCAGCCCCAGAAAAATCTCAACCCCTTGGCTCCATTGCTGCTGCACCTTGGGGCTCCGCACTCATCTTGCCCATATCTTATACCTACATAGCCATGATGGGTTCTAAGGGACTCACTGAGGCTTCAAAGATAGCAATTCTGAATGCAAACTACATGGCAAAACGTCTTGAGGTTTCTTCTCTTTCCTTGAATTGCCATACTATATAAATTTGTAAATAATAGATTTGGCAATGTCATGTCCTGGTGATCCCTCAGTATCTTTGTTAATAAAATGTTTTCTTCCCTGGTCATCATAGCAAAGCCAAGATCCATGGGGTAAGGTGGCAATGATGCGCCAAGCTAATTGTTTCAAACTAGAAATATGTGTATTTAGTATGAGTTACAGTCTTAAAAAGAAATTGAGATCTGAATTATTGCTCAAATTGAACTTAAATTCCAGAAATTTTGGTTATGTTTCCTCAATTCTTGCGTTTTCTTGTCTTGGTTGTCAGAACCACTACCCTGTTCTCTTCCGCGGTGTCAATGGAACAGTTGCTCATGAATTCATTGTGGATTTACGAGGGTTTAAGGTGGTTGTCAATTAAAATCTTTCTTCAGCAATTTTCTCTTTAATTACTGTTCATTTCCATGATTAATTGAGATACCTCATGGTTGCAGAATACTGCTGGGATAGAGCCCGAAGATGTAGCCAAGCGCCTTATGGACTATGGATTCCATGCACCAACGATGTCTTGGCCTGTTCCAGGAACATTAATGATTGAGCCCACTGAAAGTGAAAGCAAGGTATAACTCAAGATCATTCTTTGTTGTGCCCTTCTCAATTTCTCCGTCTCTCAAACTATACTTTAATATATTTTGCAGGCGGAATTAGATAGATTTTGTGATGCTCTTATCTCTATCAGGGAAGAAATTGCACAGATAGAGAAGGGAAATGCTGATATCCACAACAATGTCCTGAAGGTGAAGAAATATAATCACAAGATCATTTTTAATATGATATTTGTATCATTCTTGCCCGTGCGCTATTGATCTTGAGGATTTTAGTCAAATCAATATAACTTCAAAATGACTGTGTGAAATATGCAAATACAGGGATCGCCTCACCCTCCATCTTTGCTCATGGGAGATGCCTGGTCAAAACCATATTCCCGTGAATATGCAGCTTTTCCTGCTCCTTGGCTCCGAACATCTAAGTTCTGGCCTACTACAGGTATGCATATCAATCTACGAGATCTTTGTAATCATGCCCAATCACAGAGAGCCTTGGGACACTTTTTGGCACTAACTTTTTGGCCTTGGCAATACCAGGTCGTGTTGACAACGTGTACGGTGATCGCAACCTCATCTGCACTCTCCTCCCAGCGTCACAGGTTGCGGAAGAACAGGCTGCAGCAAGTGCTTAGTGTTCTCCAGATGCAACCATGATGCCTGAAAACATTTCTTGTTGCTCATGATGTGTATATAAACTTTCCGAAAAAATCATATTCATATGCTCTTCCACGCCTCGGTACCTTGATTTCTTTCAAAACTGATAATCAGTTGCTTAATAATAACGATCATTCCTAAAATTGCAACTCAATGTTGTAATTATCATTTTATGCTGTAATATATATATATTTTTTTTAATTTTTAAAGTCTAGGTCCTCAGCATCTTCTATTGTGGTATAATACTAAATATATTCCGGTCAGCTGTATGTATAATGGATGTAGTATTCATATAAATTCAGAATTATTACCATCATTTAAAGTATTTAATTTTAATTATACATACATAATAAACCATTTGTTTTTTAATTTAGTTTGTGACATTATAAATCTGATTTCAGTGTTAATTATAAAAGATTTATTTAACAAGTTGGCAAATATTTAATTTAAGAGGAAAATCAATGTTCTTCCTAACGTGGGAAAAAGTGCAAGGGAATCTCACCAAGTGGAATTTTGATCACTTAATTAATTAAAAATATGGACTTCTACAAAATATTAACTACAATTTAATCTTTTATGATGCATAAATTATATACTTGTACTTAGAATTAAAACCCTTATTCTAAAATTTGTGGAAAGAGTTATTGTCGATTTTATTATAATATTTAGCACGTAAGGATATTGCAATATTTAGTCAAAACTTAAATTGGGTTAACATGTCAGGTTAAAAACTATTTATCTTCCTGTAATCACCACACAGTTTCATTGCATCATCCTTTTTATTTTTTTGGTTATGAATATAATTAAAGCATCTCACGAGACACATCGGGCCGAATGAATCGTTTGTCTAGAAGTTTTTGAATTAGCTTCTTTAATTTGTCCATCTTTACATGCTGTTTGAATCTTTTAGAGTTTACGTGAATTTTAAATTGGCTAAATATAATTGTTTTAAGTCTAAATTTAATAAATAAGTAGTTGAAATAACAACCGAGTAAATAAAGATAAAATGGACCAAAAACTTATAACAATTACAAGGGAGTTACGATTTTTTAAAGTGAAAGCATGCGTAGGGAGTGCAATTTTGAGATGATCGTATTTCTACTATAGAAAATTATATTTTTACATCATATTATACTCTCGTATATTTTTATTTAAAGATTATTTTTTTATTATATTATAATTAATGTATATATATTATTTAATTAATAAATATATAAATTTATAATAAAAAATATATAAAAGTATAATTTTAAAAAATAATTGATTACGAGCACATTTAGATATAAAGATAAAAAGTTTAGTTTAAAGTGCAATTATGAATGAATTATCTTCCAAAAAAGTATAATTTATTATTTTTTTTAAAAATAATATAATCATCATATAATAATTAAAACCAAATGATTTGTAACTACCAAATAAATAAATAAAATCATAATGCTTAAAATATTCAGAATATAATTATGGAGTTCAGAAAAGAGGTTGGAAAGGTTTTATCCAGGAGAATCCAATGTACTTTTTCACTTGTTGCAATAATGATGAAGGCAACATTAGGACCATATAAATATTTTGCCATAAATTGGGCTATTATAATGTTTTATCAACTAATATGTTATTTTGTTTTAATTTTATTAATTATAAGATAAGATGTGCCAAACTAAATTAAGTACTATATATAACATATTTTTAAAATTAATTATAAGAATAAAACATATATAGAAGATACCACAAATCAGGCAGTTTATAAATAAATTAATTTAAAATTTAAGAAAAAATTAATTGATATAAAATATTTTTTTGGGTCAAAATGTATGATAATTTATTATAATAAAATTTTATTATAATGTTATCGATACATTAATGTATTAAATTTTAAATATCAATAAATTAAATATTATGGATGTGAAATAAATACATTTTCCTAAGAGGTTTGAAATTTATTAGTTAATGATATGATTAAAGAAAAAAAAAGGAACAAAAGTGTCAAATATTCTTTTGCTCCCTTGTCCGTGCGCCGGACATTTCTAGCCCTGTTGCCCTTTAAGCCAATTGTTTAAACTATCATGTGGCGCTTCTTTGCTTTTGTGGCCTGGCTATAGCTGTACTAAAACCCTCTTCCTACTCCATCCTGCCCTCTGCTTTTCCCCATCCAAACCAGAACCACAAACCGACCAGGACCACCATAATCATAATCTCTCCTCCAATGACCTGATATTTTCTCCGTACTAACTTCCTTTCACAACCCAGAAAGGAAGGCACGGACAATTCCAAGTTTAGACTTGCTGGGTGGTTCCAGATCTCGATCGTGGTTCCTCCGATCCGATGGCCGACTCAAAGACGTACATTTCGCAAGTAGAGCTTGCAGAGCACAATCGAGTTGGAGATCTGTGGATATCTATACAGGGCAAGATCTATGATGTCACGAACTGGGCTAAAACTCACCCGGGTGGTGACCTTCCCTTGCTGAATCTTGCAGGCCAAGATGTCACCGATGCGTTTATTGCTTTCCATCCAGGCACTGCTTGGCAATATCTCGATAAGTTCTTTACTGGGTTTTATCTCGAAGATTATTCTGTCTCAGAGGTGTCAAGAGATTATAGGAAGCTTGTTTCGGAGTTTAAGAAAAAGGGCTTGTTTGAAAAGAAGGGGCACGGTGTGTGCTTTTCTCTTTGGTTCATGGCATTGCTGTTTGCTACAGGCGTTTATGGTGTTTTGTGCTCCGACAGTTGTTTGATTCATGTGGGTTGTGGTGGCTTGATGGGATTTTTGTGGATTCAGAGTGGATGGATTGGGCATGATTCTGGGCATTATCAGATCATGGTTAACCCAGGTTTAACTCGGGTTGCCCAGATTCTTACTGGGAATTGTCTTGCAGGGATTAGTATTGGGTGGTGGAAGTGGAACCATAATGCCCATCATATTGCCTGCAACAGCCTTGATTTCGATCCAGATCTTCAACACATGCCTTTATTTGCGGTATCTTCAAAATTCTTCCATTCACTCACCTCTTTCTTTTACGATAGGAAGATGAAATTTGATTCTGTTGCTAGGTTCTTGGTTAGTTATCAGCATTGGACTTTTTATCCTGTAATGTGTTTTGCTAGAATCAATCTATTTGCACAGTCATTCTTGTTTCTGTTATCCAAGAGGAAAGTCCCCCATAGAGGACAAGAACTTCTGGGACTGCTTGTGTTCTGGATTTGGTATCCTCTGCTACTATCTTGCTTGCCCAATTGGGGGGAAAGACTTGTGTTTGTTGTTTCATCTTTTGCTGTAACCGGAATCCAACATGTTCAGTTCTGCTTGAATCATTTTTCTTCAAGTGTTTATGTTGGTCCACCTTGTGGGAATGACTGGTTTGAGAAGCAAACCATGGGAACCCTGGATATACAATGCTCTTCTTGGATGGATTGGTTTCATGGTGGATTGCAATTTCAAGTTGAGCATCATTTGTTTCCAAAGATGCCTAGATGCCATCTTAGGAATATCTCGCCATTTGTTGTAGAGCTTTGCAAGAAGCATAATCTGCCGTACAATTGTGCATCATTTTGGAAGGCGAATGCTATGACAATATCCACTCTTCGAGCTGCTGCTCTGCAGGCTCGGGATCTTTCCAAACCATTTCCGAAGAATTTGGTATGGGAGGCTGTCAACACTCATGGGTGATAACGACATCTATCATTTGGGATCTTACCAAGTCAGCTTCCATGAATTGTTGGCTTTTCTGAAAAATAATCATCATCCATCCTTGGATTGTTTTTGTTGTATGTATACTATTGAAGTTGTTCATCAACTGTAGCTTGAGTTTTGCAGAGTTTGATCCCTTTATTTTTGGTCAAAATGATTTATTATTTGTGGCATGAATTCATATGCAGCTCAGCATATTCCTATTTATCCAGAAGTTGATTGTTTTCAAGATTAAAAGCGGGTTTCCTGGTAGATTGAAATGCAGTTTTCCAGCTTCTCGTGAAATTGTCATCTCTATTCGATCTCTCAATCAGGAATGATATGCCAAAAAAATCCTCTTGCTTTCATGGATGAAAGTGGAAAACGTTTTTAGGGAGGACAAAAATTTAAACAACAATTATCGATGTAACATGTATTTGATTTAATGTCATCAATGCCTTTTTCTTTTTCATACAACAATCACAAAAACATACATATCTATTACAGTTGATCTATTCTAGGTATTCCTGTTCTGAAACTGTTTGAAAAATCAATCATTCATCCAAGAATCTCTCATTTGGTTCTGCAACTGATGCAGTGGCAACTAATAATGTCAAACCCAATTTCATAAACATATAGACTAGTGGATATACAATATCTTTCTTTGTCTTGTTCAACTTTTTTTGTCTTATATGGTGTCACATAAACAGGAAATTAAGGAATTTAAAATAAAAATAATTGTAGGCAAGGCGGTTCTGGGAGGTTTCTTCTTCAGAATAACAGTGTTGTGGGTGACACTTGAAAATTTTACTTCTTTTCATCTAAATTTTTATTCTATTTTAGTTTTATTTCCTTTTGATAAACCAAACATGCCCTTATTCTATATTAAATAAACAACACCATTATTCTATTTTTACCCAACAGTTATTTCATAATAATGAAGAAAAGAAATTAGATGAAATAAATAGTAATTATTTAATTTTTATTTTTAAAAAATTACTGTTAAAACGAATGAGGCCCAGTTTCCATTCTATCCAACTCTCTTGGAGGATTATGGGCCCCGGCCCAGGCCCATAGATAGGCATCTGCAACTCTCGGCCTTGTTCTTGTTCTTTTTGTTTTTAACAAGAAAACGAAAATGAAAAAGTACCGTTTCTCCCACTTTCCCAAAATCAGAATCCCTGTCTCAGCCCTCGAATCCCAGTTCGGTGCCATACGAGAGACAGCCATTCATAGGGCACGGAGAAGATATATATATACATATGTATATGTATACATATATCTGATAATAAGTCTGTTTTCTCGATCACGCAATTCATAAATCTAAAAATACAGAGAATCTAGATAGTGCTTCAATGGCAGCGAAACCCCAACCTGTAAAGGTTTTATATTGTCCTGCATGCTCTCTTCCCGCAGAGTACTGTGAATTTGGTCCTGATTTCGAGAAATGCAAGCCTTGGTTGCTCAAGAACGCCCCTGACCTCTATCCAGATCTCCTCAAAGGTACAAAACCCTTTAACCATTTTCCTATCTGATTTTTATGGCCGCATACGTTCTTACATGATGACCTTTGTTTGTGACAATGGATTTCTTTGGTTTTCCTTATTTACCACATTTTCTTTCTGTTGTATATTGAGTATTATTTTGGCTCTTTTATGTTCAGAGGCAAATGAAAAGGCAACTGAGAAGGTTTCTGACCAGCTCCAATCGATTGGGATCTCTTCAGGTGCTGATGGGGCAGCTTCTTCTGCTCAATCAGGTAGTCGACTGATTCTGTTTCCTTTCCTTCTTTTTTGGCGGAGTGTTCGCTTGCTTTGTTAAGATTGTCAAGTTTGCTTTGCAGTCTGTAGTAATCTGATGTAGACAGCAGCATCACTACTAGGGTAATAGAAAGAAAGATAATCCAATCAACGATCATAGCTATGGGTAACCACATCCATAGAGTTGCAGCAACTAATTAGGCACGCAATTCAATATTAATAGGGTTTATTCATAAGTGGCCTTCAAAATAATGAAGAATCATCCATGTATTTATAGTGAGCATTTATTTAAAAAAGGGTATTTATAGTGAGCATATAACCTATAATCTAAACTATTTGAATTCTTATATAAGATACAACAATAAAAGGGTACTAAATAAATAAGAAATAAAATCTAAAAAAGATGTAGTAACTATAAACATTCTGCTAAAATATAGTTATTCTTCTAGTAAACCTATATTAGTAAAAACTACGCTGGATAGACCTGCTTCATTCTCCACTTGTTGATGAGTTTGACTCAGATGAGGAATCCTGGACAAAGTGATCATGTGAATGTGGATCCATCATGAGCAATTTCTCTTCAGTTGTTTATGAAGTGCTTGAATTTAGACAATCATTTCATCTAATAAGGACAAACTTCCATCAGCAGTGGTAATATATCTTTACTCAAAATATCTGATGTAGCACCCCATAATAGGGTTTAGAAATAGAAAAAAACAAAAGATAAATCCAATCTATAGTTAGTAGGATTTCAACAACCACAAGTACAAAGTTATTACAGTCACAATTTCAATGTTGTTAGACACTCAATTCAATGAGAAAAGATCAATAGTTTATTCATAAGCAATTTGTTTGATAATGATGCAACACTTTATCACATAAATTTATAAGAAATAGCAAACGACTTATTTGGATTCTTCACAACTACAGATTTATCAGAAATTTAAAAGGGTTCATGAGGCAAAAGGAAGGAACATTCCTTAAGAATGCTATAAGTTTTGCCCTCCATAAAAACCTTTAAAATCCACGTCAGATTGTCTAAATTCTGACTCATGGAATGGTAATGGAATAATACTTTCACCGCCTTGTACCACAAGGAGAGCATTAATGACATGTTGTAAGATGTGAATGGGTCATTCTTCTCCCAAAAGGCGTATAAACATTAGAAAGACTAAATGACATACTCAACTAGCTGAATAATTCACCTTGAGACTTTATGATGATTCTCCAATCAGTCTAACATTCATCTCATGATGCCACCACAAAGATTTGTGTTGGAAATCTAATTGCATCCGACTAAGTTATTAAGCATCCTTAAAGTTAGGAATTGCAAATCTGTCCTTATGGTTGACCTTATTGATAGCTATGGTAGTCACATTTTTGCACAATCATTTTCCTCAGGGGGGCAACCAAGCAGGGATGGCAGAAAGATTAAGCTAGAAACTCCTTAGGTATAGAATCATGTACTTCTTTCATTAAGAGAATGTTTTGTTTATGTTATTTTTTTTTAATTGACATGAGTTTATAAGCTTCCTGAAAACATTTTAAATTCATTATGTGTTTGGTACATAAAAAATAGTTTATAAGTTGAATAACTTAAAAGCTCTTCGAAGAACATTTTTGGAGAGCTATTGTTGAAGAGCTTGTAAACTCTATATCTTACAAGACCCAACATTTTAAGACAAGTTAAACATCTTCTAGTCATCTTTCTTTAGGATCCAAACTAGATTGGAAGAGAGTAGGCAACTAGACAAAATAGGCTAGATCTACTTGTGTGTTGATGTTGGCATATTGACAGTTTAACAGTTACTAGAAAACATGATTACGGGAATCATTATCTTAGCATGGTCCGGTACCTGTAAATAGAGGAAAACACTTCTCAATCTCGTTCTTGTGTATTTTGTGGGTCAGTTGTAGAGAAAAAAAAAGAAACTTTTTTGGGGCAGTTGCTCTCATCTTGATACATTAGAGACTATTGATTCCAATTCTTGAGTATTTTGTTACAATGCACTCCACCCTCAATGATATGGATATCGGGAACCTTATTGACATTTTTATTTCTGATTCATAGATATGTTGCTTTTGGGTTGAATCCTTTGGTGCCTGGTATGATAACTTTCTTTTTTCTCTTAAGGAGTGAACCTATATTAGTAAATACTATGTGATATTGTCCGCAGCATAAACTGCTAGAAATATGAAATTGATTTTGATTTTTCTTTCTGGCAGCCTTTTTTCTTCTTTTAAAGAAAAAATAGTCAGGTGAATTATGTTTTAACTACAGTGTCCGAGAAAAGATAACTTTTATGCAGAAAACATCTGTTTTTTTATACTTATGTTTCTCATGTTTCTGAATTCCAGGGGAATCATCTAAACCAGAAGAAGTAAAACGTCTTCCTGGTGGGAAAATAAAGAAGAAAGTAAGAACTTTCTGTATAAATATAAATCTAATTATCATGCACATAGTCTCATTTTGTGGGAAGCCAGTCTTTTATGCCTGTCATGCATCATTTATGCCTGCTTTGAGTTGCGAATGGGTTTTAGAGGATTGTTTCTCTACCCTTCCTGTTTTCTTGTGTAATTGGTTCTTCGAAGTGAGAAGAGTGAATTGGAAACTGAATGTTTTAGTTGTTAGTATAGTCTGGCGAGATTCTACATTCTCACTGATTTCATTGATTCGACTATAATAACCACAGATAAATGTAGGTACTGTTGGAGTGATGCAGATTGAAAAGAAATTTGATTTTGTTAGTTTATACTTAAGATGTTTACTTTCAGTTTGTCAAATGGATTGACTTGTAATTTGACTATCTTTTCCTAGGAGTGATTGTAGGATGTATGGCTATGCATGAAGCACAAGTTCTTTCTTCAAGTTAGTCTTTTGTCCTCTCCTTTTTTCCTTGGATGTTCTGAAGGGGACTTGATGAATGTTTTGCAGTTTCATTAATCTAAGTCAAACCTGAGATATTGGTTAGGCCATTGTACTAGTAAATGGTAGCATTTTCTGATAATTGAACTTGATGAGCTCATTCTCAATTATTAGAGTTATAGAATCTAACCTCATTGTCTGCAGCTTGGGTTTCTCTGTCATTTTTTGTGGAATATATTGCTTTGTTGTCCTTTAAGGATCGAATGAACCCCTTCCGTTGTTATATTTTCTTTGACAGGAAAAACAGGAAGTTGTTATTGAAAAGGTTGTACGCAACAAGCGCAAATGTATCACCATTGTGAAAGGATTGGATCTATTTGGTGAGATATTTGCTGTTAATATGATTTATCTGAACCTTTAACATTTATTGTACTGTTGGCTGAATAAAAATTTGGAGTTAGTTTCTGATGGTAAGATACCATTTCAGGCATTAAACTTAGCGATGCTTCTAAAAAGCTCGGAAAGAAATTTGCCACTGGAGCATCAGTTGTTAAGGTTTATTGGAATTTACATGTTCTTGATGTCAATTATCTTACTATCATGTTTGTAATTTCCTGACAGTTTTGTATTTATTGATTGTCTTCTTATAGGGGCCAACTGACAAAGAGCAAATTGATGTTCAAGGAGACATAGCCTACGATGTTGTGGAATTTATTACAGATACCTGGCCTGATGTAAAGCATCTTTTTCTTATGCTTTCTGTTTCACTGTTATGTAAATGATGAATCTGGAACAATACTGTGATTCTCTGTTCTTTTTTTTTTTTTATAATATTGCAATGAACGAGCATGTGATCTCTCTAGTAGGCTAACATAACATGAAATATTCAAAAGCTTTATTTTTACTTTTTACACCTCATGGGAAGATAACAAAATCCTTTTAGGATGAGTATTTCCTGGATTTGGGAAAGTCTTCTTATGTATCAGGAAGGTTTTGATGCTTAGCCTTACAGGAAAAAAATGATTCATTTGACTCTGAGGAAGAATTGTAGAAACCAACATATTGTGTTGGGATAATTGTTTCCACTCATTCAGCTTCTTAGAAAACAAGCTCAATTATATTCTTCTGGTTATTGCGTTGCTTGTTTGAACAACAAATCTTCACATGTCTTGCCAAACATTTTATGTTTTGATTATTTGAGTAGTGGTAGTATTTGTGTGAAACTCATTGTATCCCTTGTAAGATTATAAGCTAGTCTGGCTCAAGGTAGTGGTGAAAATCATTCATGAATTTTGTTATTAGCATGGAAAAAGTAAGGAGATAAACAGGTACTCCGAAAGAATTTTCTTCCCGTTAATCTACTTAGTTAAGTCGTTATTTATTTGCAACGAACCTATGTTTACACTTTGTTCTTCTTCAGCATATGAATAAAAAAAGTCGGGACATTATTGTTCTTCATCTGCATCTCTAGGTCAATATTAATTTTCGGCTTATGATGTGTTATTTCAGGTGCCAGAAACTGCAATTTTCTTCATCGAGGACGGAAAAAAGGTTCCCGCATCTTGAAGGCGGAGCTTTCGGACAACTTTACAGTCTCAGCTACTTGAGATTCAGCTGGATGGAGAAGAAATCACTAGTAGTTGAAAAAAACGACATAGCAGTTGGTCGTTTCATATCGTTTTTAAGTGTTTTCTGGTCCTAAATCATGTTGCTTTTTGACTAGTTTCCTGCAACAGCATGTAATAATACTAACATGTATTCTTTTCTTTCGCTTGTGTGTGGCCAAGCTGTTCCTTGTTACTAGCGAGAAGAGACTTGTTCTTTTGGTTGAGAAATTCTTAAAACTATAAGAAAAATTATTCCACTTTTCACTTTGGTTATCTTTTTTAACAAATTATTAGATTTTAGTTTTTTTAAAAAAAACTCTGTGGTTTGTTACAATTTGATTATTAATAGTTTTTGTTTGTTTTAAATGTTTAATTTCTTTTTGTTTTTTTATATAAAATATTAACCTAGTTTTGTTATATTTTGATTTTTTAAAAAATATATTAAAAGAATAATTTTAATTAATAATTAATTAAATTAATAGATTAATAACATTATTATATTTATTTTTTATTGTTATTAGTTTATTAATTTAATTAATTAAAAAAATATTTTTTATTATTATTAGAATTTAATTAAATGAAAAAAAAAATTACTTTTAAAACGAATAGAAAACATCAAAGATCAAATTTTTATTTAATAATTTTCCCTAAAAAACAATAAGAAGCTAAATTTCTAAATGGGTGCTCCTGTAATTCCCAGTTTCGGATTCGGATCCTCTTGAAACGAACGAATATGCCATTTTTATCTTTCTCACTGATTCTTCCAATGATCAGAGAAAAGGGAAAGACCACCCCCCACTTGGCTACTCGCTTCACCACTCTTCTCCCTCAACCTTGCTTCCATTTCATCTCACAGTCTGCTTCATCCCCCAAACCTTCGTTACAGGTAATCTATTTCTTTCATTATTTTCTAAATGTATGATGCACTTGGCGAGGGCACTTGCTTCTTTGCTGAGCTTTTCAACTAATTGGGAAATTTACCTCAGACACACAGTTTATATGTGCTCTGCGATTACTTCAAATGATTTTTGAAGCTTGAAGTTGGTGTTAGTATCTCCCTTATTCTTGTGATATCTCTGCACTTCAAAGATAGTGTTAGTGGAGTGTCGTATAGATTATACGGCGTAGACTCAAGAATTACAGACCATTTCAGGATAATCTGAATTCAGATTCCTCTTTTTTCTTTTAATGTCTCCTTGGAGTTTGAAATTTTGTTTCAACAATCGGACATGTATCGCAGAGGCTGTTTATTTCATTTTGCTTAACTGATGTATGGATATCTCTGCATATAATTCAGATACATACGAATATTAGGAAAGAAAAAAAGAAAAAAGAAAAATGTCTCTGATATGTTTATCTTTCAGCCGAGGAAACTGGCTACTGATCCCTGGAAAATGCTAATTGAGATCTTCCGTTTATTTCTCTGCAAGTGTAGTTATGTGGACATTTGAGGGGATTTTCTTCTTTCCAACCATTTTGAGATTTTGCAGGTAAATGTGCCTACTGTTGAGTAGAGGCAAACATTAGAATGGCAGATTTGCTCTCAACTTCATGTTTCTTAAAAGTATCTCCTAGCCGCAAGCCTTACTCCCAGTCACTGAATTACATCGTGGCACCATGTTCTACCTCCTTTACTTTGCAGACGATCAGATCTCCTATCAAAAAACTCATCTTACGAGGGGAGTTGTCCAGAGGACGTGTTAAAGCTCATGGAACCTCTTTTCGCGTAAGTCAAGAAGCTGCAACTCAAGCTAGCTCTGGTTCCCATGAGTCCTCCAATGGAGCGACTAATCCCAAGCCCCAGCGGGTGATGGTCATTGGGGGAGATGGCTATTGTGGTTGGGCTACTTCACTTCACTTATCCAACAAAGGATATGAAGTTGCCATTGTTGATAGCCTTGTCCGTCGTCTCTTTGACCATCAACTTGGTCTTGACTCTTTGACTCCCATTTCCTCCATCCATAATCGCATCCGTTGTTGGAAGTCTATCACCGGAAAGTCTATGAGCTATATATTGGTGATGTTTGCGACTTTGAGTTTCTATCAGAAGCGTTCAAGTCATTTGAACCTGATGCTGTTGTCCATTTTGGGGAACAACGATCTGCTCCTTTATTCAATGATAGATCGCTCAAGAGCTGTGTTTACGCAGAAGAATAATGTGATCGGAACACTCAATGTTCTTTTTGCGATAAAGGAATTCAGAGAGCAGTGTCATCTGGTGAAGCTTGGGACAATGGGAGAATATGGAACTCCCAACATTGACATTGAGGAGGGATATATAACTATAACTCACAATGGGAGAACAGATACTTTGCCTTATCCAAAGCAAGCGAGCTCTTTCTATCATCTTAGCAAGGTTCATGACTCGCATAATATAGCCTTCACTTGCAAGGCATGGGGAATCAAAGCCACTGATTTGAATCAGGGAGTGGTTTATGGAGTGAAAACAGAAGAGACTGAGATGCATGAAGAACTCCGTAATAGGTTTGATTATGATGGAGTATTTGGTACCGCATTGAATCGGTTCTGTGTTCAGGCTGCTGTTGGCCACCCACTTACGGTATATGGGAAAGGAGGCCAGGTAAAATTGCTGTTTCTGAAAATACATACAATTTGACTTGTTTCATCTTTCAATCTATCTTTTTTTGGGCGTTGGAAAGTAGGTTTTAAGGGGTTTACTCAAACTCAACTTCCTGGAAAAATGGCGTTTTTCGGTTATTGCTAGAGAATAAACTGAAATATTATTCTTGTTATTGCTTTAAAGGAATATGTTTTTATATATTTATAGGGATAACAAGTAAAAAGAAACAGAAATTTGAGAAATAAAACCTAAAATTAAGAATAGCATCTAACCATATTGGAAAATACTACATTGAAAATACTCTACTATTCTCTAATAGGCTACATAGAAAATATTTCTATTTTCTAACACTCTCCTTCAAGCTGAAATAAATAAAAAGCTTAAACAAAAGTGAAAATCTCGTAACTTTAGAAATCCTGTGAAATGCTTGCAGCAACCTTATCAAATTCTCACAATCCATGCCTCCAAAAGAGATCAACCAAACCTTACATAAATTCAACCAACAAAGACTTGAACAGTGCTCAATCAAACAATGATGAGCTCAACCAACAAAGTATGCACATGAACAACTACGAACATTTCACGAAAACCAACTGCAAACCTTGGCTATAACTTGTCACCAACTTCAACAAGAAACTGCCAGATAAACTTTTCTAAAAGGCAAAAGGTCTTTGCTCCCATTAAGTAACTACCTCTAGTGCCTCAAAGTTCCTGTAGAACAATAAATCCTTACTCCCCGAGTAAAAATTAGTAAGGGTCACAACAGCAATTTTGTGGAACAAGTAATCTCGCCTTCCCAAGAAAAAGCTATAAGGTTTGCGACAAACTTTTGTTGGAAAATTGGTCCTAGCTTGCCTTGGGCGTTTCCTTTGAGGGTCAACGTATAACAAACTTTTGGGGAACAAACTAGCTCATCTTCCTTAAGCAGAGCTCTAAGGTTCAACAATAAATTTTCGTGGAATAACTAATGGCTTTTTTTTTTGTTTTTTTGTTTTTGTTTGGGGTAAGTAGCCCCAAATAAAAGTACATGGGAAAACCACCTAGACTGTCTTAATACCACCTTAACTCTCTTACAGAGGATACTATTTCCCCCATGAGAACAGAAACTTGTGAATAGGGACGAGGCAGTTTAACCCATTCTGCAGACAATTTAACCCGTTCTGCGGGTACTGTAATCTCCCCACCCTGAATTACGCCTTTAGAAATGTATTCAGAGTGGGCAAATTGAGAATTAAAAATTTTTGGGGATGGGCAGGTTATGATATTGACAGACTTTTATGTTATCGACCTCCTCCGTCTGTGTATATATATTTTATATATTATATACACATTTATTATTAATTTTCTTTTCAAAATTCAGGTCGGATTGGGTGCAAGACAGGTACTTTTAAATACATGGTTGGGGCAGTATGGGTATTTATATTCTTCATCCAATTTGGTTTCGGGATGGGTTTCAGTAGATAAATTAGAAGGCAGGTGGGTTTTGAATGTGAGTGAGGGAAAATGTGGTTCCTTGAAACCGCTCCAAGTAAAGTTGTTTACATTAGTCAGCACTATAGGATACCACTACTCTGTCAAAAAAAAAAGGGGTGGCAAAATGCCAGCATTCTATAAAAAATATAAATTATCATTATCAACTTTCTCATCATTTTCCCCGTGGATAGAGGATTCACACAGTGATTAATTTGCCTTCCTGTCGCAACTCAATCTTTTTGAGTCTATGAAATTGGAGCTGATGCACTGAATGAAGCAGTGACTGATACTCATCTGAGACCTTTTAAACAACAAATGGGATTCACGTAGTGATTAAATTTGTCTTTCTGTTGTGACTCAGTCTTTTTGACCCTATAAAAATGGACCTGATGTCTGAAAGAAGCAGTAGCTGATACTCATTAACAATGTTCTTAAACCTTAAATGCTTTTGCTTTTTGGGTTTTTAAACTTTTCTCAAACTTAGAATTTGTCACTCTCTTCATTGCAGACTAGGGGTTACCTTGACATAAGAGATACAGTTCAATGTGTTGAGCTTGCCATTGCAAACCCTGCACAGCCTGGAGAATTTCGGGTCTTCAATCAATTCACGGAGCAGTTCTCAGTGAATGAACTTGCTGCCATTGTCACCAAAGCGGGACAGAAGCTTGGACTTGATGTCAAATCTGTATCAGTGCCCAACCCAAAGGGTGGAGGCAGAGGAACATTACTACAATGCAAAGCATACAAAGCTTATGGAGCTGGGACTGAAACCACACCTTCTTTCGACTCTCTTCTGGATTCACTCCTAAACTTCACCATTCAATTCAAGGATCGTGTTGACAC